ACGCAGCTCATCCAGGGAGCAAGTGGCTGACGAAGACGCAGACGAAGATCATTTCAGGTATTGTATAGAACAAGTCCTCTAAAACATATGTGGGTCCCATAATGCGTTACTGGGTTAGTCATCAATGTAAATATATGTATATATATATATATATATATATATATATATATATATATATATATATATATATATATATATATATATATATATATATATATATATATAACTTTTATTTTACGTCGTTTAAAATTATCGTAATATCCTTAATTTTGGGGGGTTGATTTTAAGACAATTAAGAAACGCTGCAAGTTTACACACCGTCAATTCAATTCAATTTCAATTGTTTATTCCTTGATAGAGGAAGCGGGATCCTAGTGCTGTCACTAGGTACCCCTGTGCAATGACACCAGAAGCATCTGGTAAGTGTGACAAGTATATACAGTATAAATATTATAAAGGGGCTTACTAAAGCCTAAGGAAGGAAGGATATTCCTTTAACACATAATCAATATTATTTACAAAATATCTGGCCAGTATGGGGAGGATCATCGAGTCTCCGTCAGGGGGTCGTGGAGTGGTGGTCCAGCAGGCGTCACGGAAGCGTTGTGTGTGGGGACATCTTAGGAGGTAGTGGATAAGGGTGCTGCTGTCGGGTCTTCTGCATAATGCACAAGAGCGTTGCTTAGGGGATGCGGGGATACCAATCTCCCAAGCAAAGTCATACCCAATGATGATACGGGCTTACACACTGTCTTATTGTTTTTATTTTTATTTCCCATTTTATTCATGTTTGTCCTTCATCTCCAGGTTATTATTGTGTTTTTCGTCTTAACTCTCCTCCTTCACCTCTTTCTCATCTTCTCATGCATCGCCTTTTTCTCATTTCTCCTCCTACTCTCTACGAAGCAGGAGTAGAGACTGTGTCATAGAATGTGCTATTATATTCAAGGACGTGGGGAGAGGAGGGGAGGGGAAGGTAGGGTAGGGGAGGAGAGGGTAGGGGAGGGGAGTATAGAGGAGAGGAGGGGAAGGAAAGGGAAATGAGGGGATGGTAAACTGAATAAAAGCCAGGCCTACTCTAGAGTCAACTTCACGGCCGGTACAGGTAGACGAACTACTTTCCCGTTAATGGAAAAGGGGAAGACGGAGAGAATAGATTTTTCAGGTGAAGTTTCTGGAGATTGTGGAGTGCCTTAGCTCAGAGTAACGCAGCTACAACCACACACTCCCTCTCTCTCTCTTTATCTCTGTCTCTATCTTTATCTCTCTCTATCTTTTTATCTCTCTCTGTTTATCAATCTATTTGTTTGTCTGCCTGTATTTATTGGTCTGTCTTTCACGAAGATTAACGTACCACAGGTGTAAAAGTTACCTGAGTATTATCTTGTTCAGGTGTTGTGGTGAGTAGGCCGCCATCTCAACCTGACTCAGTGCGTCTTCCACCTCAGCTAAATCACGTATATGTCTCAGCTGTATGTCTTCCTCTGTCTCAGCTGCACTTGTTGACGTGTGTGTGTGTCACTTGTCTTAGCGCGTCTGAATGAGAGATCCAAGTGGCTGTATACAGTGTCAACCATATGTCAATTCTCTCTCTGCATGTTTATATTAAGCCATAAGTTATATAATGTCAGTAAGTGTTCAATTTCTATATTCGACTTTGATGACATTTTATAGGAATTTTCTTATGGGTGAGATTCTGAATAAAGTACAATTGAGCAACTTGTGAGTTCCGGGCTAGAGTTACCAAGTTGTTTTGGTCGAGAGGAGTAATAGCTTTATGTTCTTGTTACTGTTTCATATTTTCTCTTCTCAAACAGTTCCACGGTGGTGTTTCCCTCCTCTTGTGATAACCCTCAAGTGTTACATCAAGCATCGTGTTGTTACTCAAGCTTATTGTTGTTCCTTAAGCTTAGTGTTATTACCCCAAGCATAGTGTTGTTACTCCAAGCTTAGTGTTGTTACCTCAAGCATTTTGTTGTTACCACAAGCTTAGTGTTGTAACCCAGAAATTATTTTACGGTTAACCCAAATTTAGTGCTAGGCATTACTTAATGTAAGCCCAAGGTTATTGTTTTTACCCGAAGCTTAGTGTTGTTACCCCAAGCTCAGTATTTTTACTCCAAGCTTAGTGTTGTTAATAATGTTATCCCAAATTTAGTGTTACCCCAAGCCTAGTGTTACCCAAAACTTAGTGTTTCCCCAAACTTAAAGTAACCCCAAGTCTAGTGTTACTGCAAGGTTAGTGTTACCCCAAGCTTAGTGTTACCCAAAGCTTAGTGTTACCTCAAGCTTAGTGTTACCTCAAGCTTAGTGTTACCCCAAACTTAGTGTTACCCCAAGCTTAGTCTTACTCCAAGCTTAGTGTTACCACAAGCTTAGAGTTTCCCCAAGCCTAGTGTTTCCCCAAGCCTAGTGTCGTTACCCCAAGCTTAGTGTTACCCCAAACTTAGTGTTATTCCAAGCTTAGTGTTGTTACCCCAAGCTTAGTGTTGTTACCCCAAGCTTAGTGTAGCTCCAAGCTTAGTGTTTCCCCCAAGCTTAGTGTTACTCCAAGCTTAGTGTTTCCCCAAGCTTAGTGTTTCCCCCAAGCTTAGTGTTACCCCAAGCTTAGTGTTACCCCAAGCTTAGTGTTACCCCAAGCTTAGTGTTACCCCAAGCTTAGTGTTACCCCAAGCTTAGTGTTACCCCAAGCTTAGTGTTACCCCAAGCTTAGTGTTACCCCAAGCTTAGTGTTTCACCGTGATTGTGTCTCGTGTTACTGTAGTCTCCTTGTCTATTTCTGTCTCCCGGTGTTGTATGTAATATCTCTTAGGTCTTACATGTCCTTAATTCATTTTTACATTTTTTCTCGTGACTTCCCCTTCTCGTCGCCTACTACAGATTCACTTATCAGATTTTGTGTAAATATGTATGTCTGGTTATCTACAGTAACTCTTAAACTGTTTCATTTACGACATCTATCAGTATGTATTAATGTGTGTGATTGTGATATCCCCAAATTTATCATGTTTTTCAATTCTTATTTATGGTTTAGTTCTTTTCACTGTCAAACATTTATCCCCAATACCTCACTTGATATGTATTTCTAGTCACCCTCCGTCCCTGTTCTCCTCTCGTTAGTGGTCCCTTCTCCTTCCCCTCTCCTTGTTTACATCCATTTCCCCTCCCCCTTCCCCTCAGCCGGCCTTGTGACAGACGGAGGGACTCTGGCAGGCACTGGAGTATAACTGATCAGATTATGTTGCCTCCTGCCCCGGCCTCTCAACACGCTCTTGTGATCACAGTCTATGCGTTGTTTTTTATGATCGTCTGTATGAGGGGTGGAAGGGCGGTACATATCATTACTGTGCCTCTTACATAAATATCTGCCTATATGTCTCTCTCTCTCTCTCTCTCTCTCTCTCTCTCTCTCTCTCTCTCCTTGTTCCATCACTAGGTAAAAAGAAACTATTGATAAAGCTGTGGGAATGGCGGTGAGTGATGATTTTGGGGGAAGTGTGAGTTAAGTAATGTTTGATGTTGATTCCTCGTCCTCCATCACCCTCTGGTTCTGATGGGTTTGAGTGAGTATTCCTCTTACACACACACACATATATACACCACCAGAACCACTATTCGACACAGTACTGTTGGGCTTTTGTCAATACGAGGTTGAGGAAGGAGGGTTGAGAGGGGGGGCGACCCTTCACTAGCAGCTGACAGTAGAGTGCTCGTACAACATCCCCGTCGGATATGGCGCCATCCTCTTAAGGTTCTCATATCCTGATACACCGCCTCATCTACCCAGTCCTAGTTTGTGGCCATGATCTTCGTGGTGATGTAGCTGTACGGTGGTAGTGCAGCTGTATGTGGTGATGCAGCTATGGTAATACAGTTTTATGTGGTGGCGTAACTGTATTGGGGTGGTGCAGTTGTACTGGGGTGGTGCAGCTGTAATAGGGTGGTGCAACTGTACTGGGGTGGTGCAGCTGTACTGGGGTGGTGCAGCTGTACTGAATCGGGACTGATCTACGGGCGAGGCAGGTCTACGGGGTGGGGCAGGTTTATAGGGTGGGGCAGGTTTATGGGGTGGGGTAGGTATATGGGGTGGGGCAGGTTTATGGGTGGGGCAGGTCTATGGGGTGAGACAGTCACATTGGTATTAAGAGTTAAATAAAATAAATATCTGTAAACAAAACTATGTAATATTTCAGGTGAGAGAGAAGGAAGGACACGATGATGAAGGTAAATGTCGCTGGTCTCTTGTGGGTTGATACTGAGATCATTGACGGCAGTGTGTAATCGACCCTCGCCTAAATCTGTCCCTGTTAGTCACTGGTACTAGGTGGCGGTTGTCTTGCAGTAGTTATCAGGGTTCCTTAAGCTCTCTCAGGATAACGAGTGTATATTGTTGATGAGGTTGAAGGACCCCTCTCTTGGCCTCCCCATCCTCTCTCTGGATGTCTGTATTCTACTGAGGTTTATCATTAATCCCCTTGTCCCATTGTTTATCCCGTTCTTCATTATTACCCATTTGGAAACACTGGTGTACGGCAATAACAGCATCACGTGTTCTCTGTTATTAGACTTGGTAATGGCCAAATAGGTGAGCGGTGGTGGATCCTGGTATCAGTGGCTAAATCTACCCCAGAGGTGACGGGGTGGTGAGTGTAAAGGAGGGAGGGTGATCACATTCCACTGGTTATTTGCTCGAATTTCCTCTACGATTACAAAGACTTTTAGTGATATTGAGTCAGTCTTACTCACGTGTATCTTGCTGATTACTGTGTTCAATGCCCAGGGGGATGAAGGATACAGGTAATTACAGTGTTTAATGAGAGTGAAAGGTTCCGTGGTAGTGAAGAACATAGGAGGACTGATAGCTACTTTATAATAGAAACTAAAGGCTGTGGAGTAGAAAAAAAAACCGTGATGTTTAATTATTGGGAGTTGAGCGCTGAGAAGAGATTACCAGGTGAGGTGTGTGTTTATGTGGGTCAGTGTACTACCCTTGACTGCTTGTACTTGCTTCGGCAGTACATATACTAAAATTGGAACGATACAGAGAAGATTAGCATGGCCCCTGCGCAAATCTGAACCCTTGACTGCTTTATTTATACCACCCTTAAGTAGACTACCTCCACCTGTGTGAATGAGGGACGTCCCTTATTAAGTCAAACATTAAATATATTTGATTAATTATTTATCACGTGTATATGCTAATAATGTCTCTAGAGCAGGACAGTGTTGTGTGTGTGTGCAGCTGGTTCACAAACGGCAGTATTCCGTTACTCAGTTCTGCTAGAATAAGTGTTATTGTCGTGGTCCAGGATCTGTTACACATTACATCTACAGTTTAGTCTACAGGCACCTTAGTAGCTGAGGTCGGGGTCACTGCTGGTTTAAAGGGAAAGGTGAAGGTGGCGATCACACGGTAGCCCTGGCACGAACACCCCCGGATAGGTTAACGTGTCTTGTTAGTATGATCCACAGTAATTGGGAGCTCACCACAAAGGCCAATATATATATCGGGGTCTGAGTTAGTGCTTAAAGGGTTCAATTACCCGGGATTTTTTAATACGTCTTATATCTGGGAATATGACCTAAAGTGAATCTCTTCAGAGTGCTGTGGTGGCTCACTGTGGTGTATTGTGGTGTACTGTGGTGTATTGTGGTGTACTGTGGTGTATTGTGGTGTACTGTGGGTGTGAGCTGTTTAATATATACTGTACAGTCAGTGTTTGTATAAAATTATGAGGTATATCTTCTACAGCCGTGCCAGTACAAGAGGTCAAGGGCACAATACTCTGAGACTAACACGACCCAGTAATTGATTCTAAGACATAATAAGAAAATGGCTGCTATCCCGACCCTTGACTGGAAAGAAAATTGCTTCGTGGATTAGTTCAATTATTTACAGTCATTGCTGATCTTTTGATAATCCTGTGGATAATTATGCAGTGCATTGGTAGATGAATATGGAAAGACTTAAGCAGCGTGTATGAGGGACTGATGGAGTACAGAATGGCGGTAGTGGACACCTGACAGATGTAACAGTTATAAAATAGTTAAAAAACATCGCCTAAAATTTGATTCACTCAGTAAGTGTTTGATGTGAACATGGTTATTATATTAAGACACCTGCTGACGTGATCATCGTACAGGACAAACACTCATCATACGCACGACCTTCTTGGGCCTGAAGAAGTCACTGACGCTCCAGGCGTAGTAGGCCTTAAGTAACGGCCGAGGCAGAACGTTGGCTTCAGTTGTGTGAGAAAATACCTTCCTTATTTAGAAATGTCCTCTCATATATTGTGGCGGCCATGTACGACCCAGGCAGGTGCGGCGCCCCTTACAACCTTCAGGAGTAAAAAGAGTCTTAGGTATTGGCTGAAGTGAGTCTGTCATATTCACTGTTTACTAACCTTCATAATATACATAATTGACCTATATACAATTGCGTGCGTCAACTGTCCTCCTAACCTTTACCTGCCAGACATATCGATCACATTCCAATCTAAATAATAAGATATTCACTATGACTAGAGGTGTTCTGCTGTAATGAATCTTACCTGTAACAGTTTGGCACCAGTAGTGATTTTAGACTAAATTTGACCCGACTTAATGTGTCTTATCTCGATATTTTTAAACGAAGGTGGATGATGTATTGTGTCACTCCAGTTGTGTTCTTACAAAATCTGGACCTAAAAGTAAGCTGTTTACTTGTTTATATTACTTGTTCTAAGATGGACTGGTTCATTCTTACCACCTAGTACAGTACAGAGTATCACATGATGTTTACGCTCGGATGGGAAGTCACCAAACTGAAACTCGTCAAATACAAGTTTAGTGTTATGTACCGAACTAGTGTAGAGTTGTAGAGTTAAATAATAGATAGAAAGCCAACTCATTACCCCAGTCTGATTATCGTAGAATTTGCCACAACTTTGAACATTTTAGTTATTGATGGATCGCGTATTTTCGGCTGCTGGTATTATTTTCGTTTATCGTTGGTGTTATAGTGGAGGTGTGATGCACTGTACCGAGCAATGGCCTCTAGGTCTCAGAGTTGCTTGATATTATTGATCATATTATTGGAGGTCTGGTGTGTGTGTGTGTGTATGTGTGTGTGTGTGTGTGTGTGTGTGTGTGTGTGTGTGTAGGTGTGTGTGTGTATTGATCCATCAGACAGCGCGGGTAAGGTGATCCACGTGAACCAAACTTAGATTAAGGTAACCTGAGCTATAAGTGGGCGTGTTATACAGATTAATTCTGGTTACCTCATCAAAACCTTATTTATGAAATCTTAATTCACGAACCAGTATATTACTACACACACACACACACACACAGTATCGTGTCACCCTTCAATGTGTTAAATGTCATTTTCAAAGGTTTTACTTGTTAATGATCATAGGATAAATTTTACTAATTATATCTGTTAGAACAGTTAGTGTTAACAAGGCACAGTAGAAGCCGCTGTGTGATCATCCTCTTGGCCGCTGACCAACGTCTCCTGATAACAAGGTAGTCTAGTAGTTAATCAGTAATAACGATAATCACTGTAACTGGTTTTGTCAGTGGTGTGAAGGCGTCTTCAAGGAGCAGAGAGAGAGAGAGAGAGAGAGAGAGAGAGAGTATCTTTTTATCATAACTTAGTTTGTGTTTACTAAGTTACGTACAGGACTTAGTGGGTGACGTAATCATCGTGCAGGTAGACGAGCCTCCTGGAGGTTAACTTAATCACCTACAGCCTATTGACACCTTGTGGCAGAGAGATCAACAACACCTTTTATGGCGTCGACGTAGAGATAGACAAAATATGACCTTTTAGTTGTTCTCTCAGACTACTTTTGGTATGGTTCTCGCCGGCAACAACAACAATTCCTCAAGGTGAAACTCCTGGAGATAACAACAACAACAACAAAAGCAAAACAACAACAATAAAACACAAACTTACATGGATGACTTTATCAGGTGTGTCTTGAGGTTCGGGTTTCATCTATCTTGGTAACCCTGTCAAAATGATTATTTCGAATACGGTTCTTACTACTACAAATGTGTTTTACTCTTATTTCGTAATTTGTATAATACTCTAAGCAAGTTCCATTTCTTTCCCGTATACGTTTTTCTATGGGTGTCTATAAAACAAATAAAGAAAAACAAGTTGGTGAGTATATCAAGAGGGAAATGGCAACGCTATGAGACTTAGATGACGTCAAGGTTCGGTTATGAGGTGTTTCAGGGGTTCAGGACCAACAGATAGAACAGACGTATTCAGATAAAATTATATATTACCTGTACTGAGATTATAATATTATTTCTTTCTACGTATAATATTTTACTTCAATAAAAATAGTTAAATACAAAGGTTGTAAACCAGTATATGTGGTAAGAGGGAAGACAGACACAATCAAAGTCGTTTAGCAGTAATGAGACAACTCTCGGACAGCCTCGTCAAGCACCACTCTGCTTCGATTTGCTTTTCCAGCGTGTTGACTCGCGCTGTGTGCCTCCAATGTCAACAGTTTCTGGCGCCGTTGTCACGTTAACAAGTTTCTGGAAAAACAAGAGAATATTGAACTGTTGTAAAGTGTTGTATAGTGTCATCACTTCCACCGACTGAGACTCCTGAGTTGGATCAGGTATTTCTTGGCGTGTATTGTTTAACAGGTGAGGTTAGACCACACCTGATGTGGCCAGCTTGAAGCTACCTGTTGTCTCACTCACTTCCTTCTTATAATATGTAAAACAAATAGTTGGATTTGTTTGTCACCCCCCCCCGTGGCCGCGTTTATATATATCATGTGTCTGGCACTACGAATTTTATTTATTTTTTAATTTTGCCACGTACAGCGACTAGTTTATTGTGCACCCCACACTCATTACAAAGTATAGGTCACAAATGGTGTGTATAACAGACATAAGGACATAGAATGGAGGAAACTGCAGCGGGCCTATTGGCCCATACTGGGCAGTCCCATTTACGCCCAACCCCTATTGCTCATATAAGCATCCAACCTATGTTTGAAGCTACCCAGCGTATTCGAGTTAATGATGATAGTTGGTAACCAGTGTTTACCTATTTCGCGCCTAAATCTAAATTTGTCTAATTTAAAACCATTGTTACGAGTTCGCTCCTGGTTGGATAGTTTGAGTACCTTTGTAATGTCCCCTTTGTTTAGCCCTGACTTCCATTTATACACCTCTATCACGTCGCCCCTCGCTCTACGCCTCTCGAGGGAGTGCAAATTAAGATGCTTTAACCTGCCTCTGTACTCAAGGTTCCTAATGCCCGGGATTAGTCTTGTCATTCTCCTCTGAATTCTTTCCAAGGATTCTATATCCATTCTGTAATACTGTGACCAGAACTGCACTGCGTAATCCAGGTGAGGTCTCACAAGCGCAAGATATAATCTTAAGATGACCTCGCTAGTCTTGTAACTAACACTCCTTTGTATGAACCCCAGTACTTTATTAGCCTTGTTAAGAGCATAAACACATTGTTTGCTTGGCTTAAGGTTCCTACTTATCATTACTCCTAAATCTCTCTCGCAGTCGGATTTCTCTATGGCATCGTTGTTCATCTGGTAACTGGTTTCCTTGTTTACAACTCCTATACTGAGTACTTTACATTTGTCCACATTGAATTTCTTCTGCCATTTTTCAGACCATTCGAAGAATTTGTTTAGATCTTCATGTAGTTTTGCGGAGTCCTCGTCAGATTTAGTTACACGTCCTATTTTAGTGTCATCAGCAAATTTACTTATGTTGCTGTCTATGCTGATTTCTATGTCGTTTATGTATATAATAAATAATAATGGTCCAAGTACGAGCCTTGGAACTCCACTTGTGACGTTGTCCAATGGGACTTAGTGTCGTTAATGCTCACTGCTGTTTCCTGTCCTGTAACACGCCCTAATCCATTTAAGGATGTTACCTGATGCCATGTGCTTCTACCTTTCTAATTAGTCTTTCGTGGGGACTCTGTCGAAGGCTTTGCTAAAGTCGAGATATACACATCATATTTGTGCCCCTCGTCCACCGATTCGAAAAACTGATGAAAAGAATGTTAATAGATTAGTTAGACAAGAACGTCCGCTTGTGAAGCCATGCTGGGAATCAT